CTCGCCCTAAACCCCATCCCCCCCAGCCTGTGTTTGTGCTGGGGACTGCCCCAACCTAAGGGCAGGACCTTGTTGAACTCCATGATTGAGGTTCACATGGTCCCACCTCTCCAGCCTGTCCAGGTCCCTCCGGATCCCATCCCTTCCCTCCAGCATGTCACTGCACCACACATGGTCATCCACGTCACCAGCAAACTTGATGAGGGTGCATCAATCCCACTGTCCATGTCACCAACAAAGATGCTGATACCAGCCCCTGAGGAACACCACTCATCACTCGTCTCTACTTGGACATTGAGCCACTGACCACAAGTCTTTGAGTGTGACCATCCAGCCAATTCCTTATCCACTAAGTGGTCCACGTGCCAAATCCATGTGTCTCCAGTTTAGAGACAAGGATGCCATGTGGAACAACATCAAATGCCTTACACAAGTCCAGGTAGATGACATCAGTTGCTCTTCCCCTATCCACCAACACCATGACCTCATTGTATAAGGCTACCAGATTTGTCAGGCACGATTTGCCCTTAGTGAAGCCATGCTGCCTGTCATCCATCACCACTTTACTTTCCATGTTCCTCAGCATGGTTTCCAGGAAGATCTGCTCCATGATCTTGCCAGGCACCGAGGTGAGACTGCCTGGCCTTCAGTTCCTTAGCTCTTCATTTTTAAAAAATAGGGGCTTATATTTCCCCTTTTCCAGTCAGCAGTAACTTCAATGACTTCTCAAATATGATGGATAATGGCTTGGCCACTTCATCCACTAGTTCCCTCAGGTCCTACAGTTGCATCTCCTCAGGTGCCATGGACTTCTCCCAAATACTCTAAGCGATAAAGTTACAAACTCAGGGTTCACGGCTGTATGATTTATCCCTATAGGAAAGCATGTTCTGCCTCACAAACATCTTTCTCCTTACTAAAATAACCTTTAAAAACATATCTTAGGTCTTACTAAACCAAAAATACTGTGCTGATCATTGCTCTGCTGTAAATGTTGAATAAACCTTTACACATGACTTTATGTAAAGGTAACGTACAATAAGTGTATCAACTTGGGACATGCTGTCCACTAATCCTCAGGGATAGGAAAACCAAAACAAGCCCAAGTTTTGCAAGGCTTATTTGTCTAAATTTGCTAGATTCCTAAGGAAAGAAACAGCTCTTGTGAAACTAAAAGACCAACTGAAAAAGGTCATTCTGAGACAACACAAGGAATACCAAGAGCAGGCTGAATCTACATCTGCAATCGTGCATGAGGAATGTGAGCAAACAGAATCCAGCACCACTTTCTCTGTATCAAACCCATGCAGAAAAGTTGCTTGTTGGCTTCATAAATGCAGAGTGGGAGTATAAAACAAGCACTGAAAACAATAAACATGGAGAGTTGAGTATTTCTGCTATTCCTACTCAATAAGCCTCCAGCATATTTAATAGAGATAATATCCTCCCTCTAGTTACCTTCTCCTCCGGGTTTGGCGCGTTGCCTTGATCCTTTTGTTGAAGGCTGCCTTGAGATTCCTGAAGAACTTTCACTCTTTAAAAGATAAAAGCCCACAAATTTATATAATTATCCATTAAAAGATTTTTTTTTAATATAAATTTACTTACATGAGTTGCTTTTTTATCTATCTGTATTATACATAAAAAACACACACAAAACTGACCCACACATACAAGATTACAAACACTTCCAGTCTCTTTTCCTCAAAGTCTGCAGGTATTTTCCAGAATATAAGCCATTTTCTCTTACATAAACCTCTATGATTAGATTTCATTACTGTAAAGACAATTCTCACATGTATACTTAAGAGTATCCCAGGCAGAGCAATCTTGTGAAACCTGTAGAGCATCTTTGACACCACTGCTTGTCTTGGGAGAGAATGCTTAGCTACCAGTGAGCTGCAAAATGAGTAAGGTGCTTACAATCACCTGCATGTTCAGCTATATCAGATACACAGTTCCTCTTTGAGAAGTCTTAAATTTCATTTCAAAATAGAAGGAAAGACTAAAAACCTGTGCCGTTAGACCTGCAGAGTCCTCTACTCAAGTGGCAACTGGAAAAGGGAAGAAATGGGGCTTGCAAGAAAGTCCAGACAAGCAGTGGATGATCTCAAAGTGCAAGTGGTGCAGTAAGAAGCAGAAGAGTTCCAAAGTGGAAAACATCAAACTAAAGAAAAATTGAGGACATTTCTGAGGCCTCTGACCTTACCCCAAAGTGATTGAGAGGCCAGGAAATTAAAGCAGGCAAGCACACAAGGATTATTCTGTTTTCTTTGCGTGGCAGGAAAGTTGAACCAGATGATCTTTAAGGCCCATTCCAACCCAAAGCATTCTGTGATCCTATGTTTCTGCCTGAAACGAAGTACACCTGACTGACAATACTTTCTGCATGTTCCACATTTCAATGGTCAGCCAGCCACGGAAAGGAACAAGCTAAATCAGCAGGTCCACTTGGCTGGAGGCTGGGTAAAAAGATGTGTGTAAGTAGCTGCCTCTTGTAAGATGAGATCAGCACCAGGTCCAAGAGACAAGGTCTCCTGGACTGCAACGTCCCCTGTGTGCAAAGGGAGAACTGAGCCCATGCACAGGTAGCAGCAGAGGCTGAAGGCAGCTACAGCACTTGCCCTACAAAAAGGCTCAAAACACCATCATGGCAAGAGCAGGCAGGTTTTGTTACAGCTGTGATAACTAAAGGTAGGCTATGGTACAGATTTACTACTCAACTCTACCTGAAATACAGCTGGGGCCCAAATGCCTGCAGAGAAGATGCAAGGTGTAAAGGAGGACTCCTGTCAGCCTAACAAAGCTCCTGGATATGAGATCAATGTTATTTCCTTACACAACTCTTGCCCAGCAGAAGCAGCTGACTTCTGCTTACGTGTAGACCAGACAATGGAGCCAGCAATGGGATCTGGCCCACTATGGACACACACACGGCTTCCTGCTTCTTACAGTACTGCATATACTAGCAAACCAGTAGCTTCCAGAAAGCCATTCATGCTTCTAGTAACTTCCATAGAATCCCAGCCTGGTTTGTGTTGAAGGGACCTCAAAGCTCCTCCAGCTCCAACCCCTGCCACGGGCAGGGACACCTCCCCCTAGAGCAGGTTGCTCCAAGCCCCTGTGTCCAACCTGCCCTTGAACACTGCCAGGGATGGGGCAGCCACAGCTTCTCTGGGCACCCTGTGCCAGCGCCTCAGCACCCTCACAGGGAAGAGCTGCTGCCCAAGAGCTCATCTCAGTCTCCCCTCTGGCAGGTTCAAGCCATTCCCCTTGTCCTGTCCCTACAGGCCCTTGTCCAAAGCCCCTGTCCAGGATTCCTGGAGCCCGTTTAGGCACTGGAGCTGCTCTAAGGTGTCCCCTTCAGGAGCCTTCTCTTCTCCAGGCTGAACAAGCCTTTCCTGTCCTTTTGCCTAACTCCCTGATTTCATTAGCACCGTTCATTAAAGAGGAAGCAAACACCCGTGAACACAACAGATGAAGTACAGGTGACTTACAGAATACCATCCTTCTGTTTCTGCACTTTCTATCCCTAGAAGAGATCTCTGCACCTCATTCAAAATCCTGTCATGTTTAGCACCTCATGGGATTTCCTCCTTATCTGCTTTTTTGTAGTTTGTGTGAATTGATAGTCCAAGCAGTTTGCATCCAAGATTTATTTCCAGCCCTGCTAATAATGTCCATAGAGATAAAAGAAATGAGAACTACAGATTCTTCCATTTCTATGCAAATATTCAAGGCCAGGTTGGACACAGGGGCTTGGAGCAACCTGCTCTAGTGGAAGGTGTCCCTGCCCAGGGCAGGGGATTGGATCTGGATGAGCTTTAAGGTCCTTTCCAACCCAAACCAGTCTATGGTTCTATGTTCCAATAACCTGTAAAAGAACAATGATAAATAACATTTGTTTTCCAGGGTACTTTGCATATAGGACAATGGGAACTGTTGAGAAGTTGAACTCTTTGGAGGTGCTTTATGGACAAGTGAGCAGTCTATGCAAGAATCAGCTTCAACAGTTAGTTTCCTTTAGAAACTACATCTCCTTTACCTCCATGCTCAGAATTCCAGGCACTCGATCAGGCAAAAGCAAGCCTCACTTCACCAAAATCTAGCTGCATGGACAGTACATGGTCCTGCTTTGACATAAACTAGTTTTCCCTTACACTGTCTTAATTGGCTTATTAAAATCATTATTTAACCCACAACCAGAGCTACCACTGTTTTTGTTTCACTCTTTAGGAGCTACTGGCACATTGCAAAGCGAAACAGAAGTCCAAAACATCGAGCTAATATTGAAGTGGTTAATCTTAGTTCACCTTAATTACTACCAGCTTTCACAATCACAACACTACACAAGGAGCAGAAGTAAAGCTACATACCAGCAGAGTGTGGCTCTATGGGCCCGCAGGCCACATCTGGCACATTCAAGCTTCAGCAGCTCTTTGGGTGATGTAATTATTAGCACAGGTGGGGAAGGAGTTGGGAATAGGTGATGAGGCTTCTGGAGGAGTGGATTTAGTCATTTATTTATGTGAGGTAGTGACTACAAACAGTGCTGAACATTTCTGTAGAGCCACATGTGCACACTGGCAACAGGGGCAAAGTACAAGCTGAACTTTCATCACTATGGTAGCACACAAAAACATAAATCCTGCAATATTTATGAGTTGAGTCTTTCCAAAGGGAGATAAAAGAGGTCATTCTTTTTCTTACAAATTCATAGGCTCCAAAACTTTGAACAGCAGTCACTGGAGACTAAGAAATCTTACACTTCATCTCACACCATCCTGGAAATCACACACTGGAGTGGAATCCTAGATGGATGTATGCACACATCCCAGATCGAGTAATTGCACTCCTATTTGGAGAGGATACAGGAGCCTGCTGTAAACCATCCCATCTGCTGCTTTTCCCTCAATATTAACCTTTAAAAAGGTTGACTTTCACTTTAACACATAAGGAAACCATGATTTCTAGTATTTCAGCAGGTCAAGAAGAGCTGTATGCTTTGAAAAGACATCCTATTAACTCTTCCTCCTTTCCATGCAACAACCAACCTCTGCATTCATGAGAGGATGCCATGAATAGTTTCTATCAGTGATTTTATATTGCTCAAGCAAACAATTCTGTACATGCTTGCTGACACCTCCTCCAGCCACACGGACTCCATGTATAAAGGCAGAAAAAACACACCCCACCCAAGAAAGGAAGAGGGCCAACAGTAATGTTCACTCTCGGTACGGAGAGCAGCCCTGAGGAGAAGAACTTGAGGGTGTTGGGTGAGGAGAAGCT